TTAATTATATTAACTATACATTAATGATTATTCAACTTAAACTAATAATACTTTATTGAATCATATTGTACTGCCAGGGAACAGCCCCATCTCCCATAAAAAAATCAGCAAGTCCATCTCGCTTAAGACGAGCTCCTTGAATAAAGTTTCTCTCTTGTGTGGCGCATAATGGTAATAAGTTCTCAGAACTTTGACCAGTTCTCCAATTTCCAGAAATGATACATTGATTTTCATGATCTTCTACATCAACTGTTATGCAAGGTTCACAATTGTTCTTTCTAATCCAATTATGCAATGCACATGCAGCTTTTATAAGTGTTATTGTGGTGTGTGGTGCAAGAATTTTGGGTCTTCTGAAAACCCGAAAACGACTTGAGAGTATCCCAAATGCATTTTCAACTATACGTCTGGCACGAGATAATCTGTAGTTGAACACTTTTTCTTTGACTGGTTGTTGAAATTTACGAGGATACGGTTTCATCAGATAGGTTTTTAGTTGAAATGTAATAGTTATATTTTAGTTCATCACCTAATATCACACTTTCAGGAGGAATTTCTAATTTACTATTTTCAATTGCTTTCATTAAATTTGATTTGGCGAAAATCCATCCATCTGATTGGTTCCCGTAGCTGCCAATATCAACACATGTAAAATTGTAGTTACCATCAACCAAAGCTAGTAATACAATACTAAAATACCCATATAATTATAATATTGTGAGTGAGTATTTGGTGGACATTGAATCACTATATGCTTCCCGTCTAGTGCTCCTATGCATGATGGGAAATTCCATTTGATATCAAATTCGTTTGAAATATTTTTCCACTCATTTTGGTTTTTTTGTATCTTTAAAATTAAATAAGAATATAACTATAGTTAAAAATGAATATGTAAATTTTGCAGATATTATACAATAATTAATATTATTTTTACAGATGGCAGAAGTAGAATGTATAAATAAAACCTCAAATTCGAATAATGAAAAAGAACATGAAGAACATATCACTTCAACACCTGTCAATATTCGAAAGGATCAAAAAACTTTTTAAAATCTAATAAAAAAAAAAAAATAGATACTTCTTTAAACGACGCAGTTAAAGCACTCAGAGAAGTTTCATCATCACACACATAAAATAATAAGTTTGGTATGTTTGGACAACTGATTGGTCTTCAGTTGTCCAAACTTCCGTTAGAAGAGGCTCTTGTCTTACAACAAGAAATACAATTAAAAATTAACGAAGCACGTATTCGTAGTGTTCGTAATTTATCTAGTTCACCTCTCTCAACTTCTGTAGATTGCTTACCAAATACAGTAGAAGCCGCTTATTAGAAACACGGATTATTGATACAATCGCGTTATTGAAACTAAATATACCGGGACGGATTGCCCGTATATTAGAACATTTAAAATAAATCGGATTATTGAAACAGTACATCAGTTATTTGAAACAATTAGACGAAGGTCAGTTGACATATACACCGGTTATCCGTCTACCTGAACACACATACGCACTCAAAAATGACAAAGCTAAAGGGGCAAAAACGAGCAAAGAGCGACTCACAATTATGTGTTGTGTCACCAAGAACGGGGAAAAACGAAAATTGATGGTAATAGGTAAGAGTCAGAACCCACGCTGTTTTAAGGGAGTGAAAACATTACCAGTCGATCTCTCGGATGAAGTTTATGGCGATTGGGTTGATGTGGACTCACACCTCGATGTGGCAGAGATTCAAACAGAAGAAGAGATTTGTAATGCGGTAATGAATCCTCAAACAATTGAACGGGCCAATACTGATGATGAAGAAAAAAACAGCGAGGCACCCTTGGCACCGCCATCAAACAAGGAAATTGTAGAAGCTTTAAGTATCCTTAGGAGAGCTGTTCAGCACCAGGCGGATGAAATAGGTTTTGAGCAGCATTATTCATATGAAAATATGGTTATGGAGTTACTTGACGCAAAAAAACAAACTTCGATCGATAAATATTTTAAATAATATAGTAAGATAAATATTTTAAATATGTAATATAGTAATTAGTAAGGTAAATATTTTTAATGTCGGAGGACAGAGATTGGATGTCGAAAATATTTAAAAAACTTTGGTGGTTCAAATGGTTCAATGCAAYAAATTTACAGGTTATTTAGGGATTAAATCACCTGACTATCAATATACGTATAATCAATACACCTACCAATCATTTACTATCTCATATTTATATACCTAGTATTAATTTTTTATCACACAGCTTAAATAAAATTTAACGAAATATTTATACTAATTTATTGTAAATATGTTTTTTTATTTATAGAAAAAATTGCATATTATAATATATTTTTTGCATATTTTCAAATTTTGATGCATATATCATAATTTTTCCTTGCATATTTGCATGCATTGCAGCAAGTTCCTTAATGAGAGTGTTGGAAATTCCTAAGGCACATCTTTTTCCTATCCATTTTCTTACCCATTCTCTTTTTCTACTTTTAGTTTTTTGTTTTTGTTTCAAAACAATCATCTCACCAATGACTCTAATCATTGCACTTACCACTGGTTCGGACATTATTCATTTAGATGGTTATTTAAATATTAAATAACGAATAATAATTAATTAAAACAAAATCAAATTAAGTTTAAAAACTTCAAGATGTAAGCACTTAAATCAAACAAACAATTCAATAGTTATACGAAAATCATCCACTGTGATGTGGCTATCACTATCACCATAGCGTCAATGTGTATACGGTATATTATGTGCACTAAGTCTTGTTTAAGGGACCATTAGCTAATGGTTGTTTGCACAACCTAGCAAAAGTTCATATAACATATAAGATAAAAAAATTGTTATATTTATAATTAAATTAGGTAGATAGGTAGTTCAGTTTTTGAAGTTATAAATGTATAACAAATAATGCATATTATTGTTTTGTAATTTGTCATACCTACTTAATATTATTGTCAAAAAAATAAAATTATCTTTTTTAAACCATTGTTATATGTATGAATGCAATGAAAAACATTTTGATAATTAAAAAATAATTATAAGCGTATAATTTTTTTTTATATCAATAATATAAAGTTTAATTTCACTAACCTAATACAAATACAATTATATAACAACATAACAATACTATTTTCATAAAAGTAATCTAATCAGTTAAAATAACATAGATTTAACCATTTTATTTAATTTGCTATAGCTATAGATGACAGATTTTAGTAATCCTGCTGTTGGTATTCCTTTTATACTTTGCATAAGACTTGAATAAAATACTATTCTACTAATACCATTGCGCACAATTTTACTGACATCATCTTGTTTTGCTAATTCTTCTAAAATTCTGTCATTATTCAATTTGTTCTTATAAGATCTGAATAAAATATTCTTTAAATTTTGTGGTAACCTTTGTAAATGATACAATTTGCTCTCCAAACTCTTGTCTTGTTCTACAAATGAATTTATGGATAGCCTATCGTTCATTGATTTAAAAACTGGTGTATATAATGCCCTGAATTTTTCTATTTGAGGTTGTACTATGTTTGCCACTTTGTTCTTGTCCTCACCAATAATCATACGGAAATCTCCCCGATATGATAGACCCGCAATGGCAGTATATAAGTCTACTTCTGAAAATTTTTCAGGTAACTGAAGTAGTGCAGCATGCACAGCACTTCTTAGATTATGAATGACCAAATCACTAAATCCTTCATCACGTAACATTAACACAGGCTTGTGAAGCCGACCAGCTATGTATAGTGTGTACCATGACTGTAAATCTTGACGAAAATCTATCAAATCTATAATGCCATATTTGAACATTAAATTACCTACTGTGATATGTGTATTGAAATACACATTAGCACCAAATGAAGTTTGAACGGTTGATAAGACCGATGGTCCTAAGTAACGAATCGAAGAATAATGATCTGGATTAATTGTTAAATTATCTCGATGAAAGTCGTGAGTATTGTTTACAACAAATATTAGGTCTACCATTGCACGATCCGTACGACCAGCCTGTTGAAATACACCAGATCCATAAGCAAAGCAGTACACCAAGTGTTTAGTAGGAAATTTAGTGAGAATCCGATTTAAATCCACCAACATAGTTACATAAATTGTTTAAAATTGTGTACAGTAATAATATTTACATTATAAATTAATAAAATACAGTAAAATAATTAATATTTACATTTTTACGAAGATTTCTAAAGATATCTATAGTGCCGAACGTCTTAATATTTTTTTAAAGAACTCAAGTCTGATGATTACAACAATTACGTACTGAAGAGTGAAGTTTCGAACACCTCACAAGTCACAAGTAATTCATCTTTTAAGATTAATATTAATAATATTATTGTAATTTTGATTTATGACTTATCAATTAGCATCACCCTTGTATTTACTATTTTGTAATGTTATCTTTTATTCAAATGAATAACAGATAACATTATCTATAGCCGTACCACACGTCGTCTTACCACACGAACATGGTATGATAGATAATATTATCTATGCACGGTATAGAGGATAACTTTTATACCAGAACCACATAAAGAAATATCTAATAAAGCTACCATCTGCTCATTGATTAAATATACTATATTTAATGGTGACGTATCACCTATAATAATATCATTTTCATGAACATATATACTGTATATATATACATACATACATATATAATATCATTATATTATACCACGGTTATCTACACCGTTATATATCAGCACCACGGACTAAGATATAATGGACTGGCATCGAGTGCAATATATCTGTGAGCCGAAAATGTATCGCGACGCGGGAGTGCGGGGGGAATTTGAGTCCGAATGATTTTAGCGCTATCTACACGCCCATTATATTGATAAAATTAATCTCAAAATAATTATAAATTTRAAATWACAAATATTTACAATACAATGGAAAATGGAACTACAAAGTACTAACAGGCTAAAGCTAAAAGCACTAAAACATTGCATCAAAAGAATAACCAATTTTACGCTGCTGGCTGCTCGCGGCCTATTTGTAGAATATTACCACTAGATGGCGTTCTAATCATTCGGACTTTTGTATGATGGCGGAGAGGTGAAGAGAACATAACATTTGATGCTCGGTCCCTCCTACTTACTCCCCCAGACTATTCGATGCCAGTCCATTATATCTTAGTCCGTGATCCGCACAGATATATACATAGAGTATAGACCTTATATAGTATAAGGTCTATGGATATATATAATAAATTATTATTATTATAGTTTATTATATATATCTGTGTATATCTGTGACTTACATAGAATGTATAAACAATATAACAATTTGTTGATTATTTGTTACAAATTAATAATGTGTTTTACATACTTATATGCTTATAAACTTAAAACCTACCTAACCTAACCTATATATATTATATAGGTGAGTAAGTTGGTTACTTACCTGCCCGTGTCACAAAAAAATTCTTATTTTACATGAATAATAGATAACTACAGTGGCGCAACTAGGATCAATTTAGGATGAGGGGGGGGGGGGTTATGAACCCCTTGGTTGCGCCACTGGATAAGTAGGTACAACGTTAAGGGCCAGTTGTAGTAGTTGTACCGTCTTCGGTTAAACTCCGATTATGCTTAATCAGCTGATAACAGATATTTAACCGTGCAAATTTGGCCGATTAAACTCCGGTTAACTTAAATCAGAGATGGTACAACTAGCCCTAAGTACAAACACAATATGAGTTACCTAATAATAATACATTTCTAAACTTATGAAAACTTTGAAACTAATGAAAGTTTATAGTTTCTTTCAGTAGTCACTTGTGAAATCTGAAAATGTATCGTTATTATGTCTCGTAATCGTACTGAATGAACTTTTTAATTCTATAATATCACCTCATATCAAGTTATCTCGTTGATAGGTATATTAATATAAACTATAACTTATAAATTATTTACATTTTGAATCGTTGACCAAAAAAATATATTTACGTAGAGTGGTCCACCGCGTTTTCCCGATAATTCGTTAAGCTAAAAGAGAAAAACGGGAAGTCACGCTAGTCACGGTGCGGTAGTTTCACGCCCTGTATTTTATAGGAATATATTAGTGAGGAGGTACGCATAGGCACAACTAACTGGTGGTGGTTAGGGGTGAGTAGTGCCCTAAAATATTGTATTAGCATCCTCAAGCAACTTGATTAATTATGTACTTTGAGTTTTGACCATTCGATTTTTATAGTGCGAGTGTGTGCGACGAATAAAAATATGAATACGGAATTGCATGGCAAAAAAACGATTTTCAAATGTATACCTACCTAAATTACCCACAAATATAACTATAACAAATAAAAACAATATAATAGGCAATAAATTAATAAATTGTAATCGAAGACAAGTAAAATTTCTTTAATAATATCAAATACGTGTTAGATAGATAATTATTATTCATCTTCAATCATTAATTTTTATCATTCAGAATATCGTAAATAAAAGGATAAATGGTCATTTGTATCGTAACCTTAGTATAATATAGTTTTAGCGACCCAAAGTTTTAGTTCTAGTTATGCCTTATGTTTATGCAAAGTAGTGAATTTTAGTGATCCTCATTCCTCGCTATCCTAGTGAAAACGGATTCTGTAATGTAAACATCTATAGCCATTTAGACGAGCATATTTTGTTTTTAACATGGGTTATGGGTTAACCTACCTATTATTAATACGTTTAATCMTTGTTTATACCAATATGCCTATTTATACATTATAATTATACACTAATACACATAATAATAATATATATTATTCTAATTAAGTTTCTAATCACCTAAATATTATAATATTGTAGATTTAACGACTTAAGTTATTTGACGTTTGCAAAAATAAAATGTTATTATAAATTTATATAAATTCCATTAATGTACGTTCCGGAACGAATAATCTAAAGTTTATTTATGTGTTGTTCCGCATGATTGCGTTATAGAATTATTAACAACGTTCTGGAACAATCGGTTATATTGTTCCGTTACGGGTACATGCTTATAGTTAGGTACTTATATTTAGTGTAAAGGCCGTGTAAGTATATTATTAATCCTTATTCTTCATTATTTTCTTGTTTAGTTCTGTTATGGTATTTTAGATTGGAACAATACTAAATTACTATACCGTCAATCGTTGTTAGTCATCAATACATTATTACAATAACATATTTATATATCTACTTATATAACCTACTTTATATATTTGTATACTAAAATTAGTCGAATGAACCATACATATTATATTCGATCTTATTAATATTTACAGTTTCCAAACATTTTTTTGTACCCGAGAGAACAAATTAGAAATCACAAGTGTTAAATAATAAAAGTATTTTCAGTATATCCCATGTAATTACAGGACAAAAGTAATATCAATTAAAACATTGCATATAAGTTTTATAAAAACTAATTTTTTTTTGTTGTGAAATAATAGCTTATCGCAATATTGTTTTTGAATCTTTAAACACAAGTAATAGGTACATAATAATGTAATCTAACAAAAACTGTCTAGTTTAGTGACATGTCGGTGTGTGGCCTGCATAATATAACCTTTTAAAATCGATGAATTTAAAATATTTTCTTGCGAAAAAAAAACTTAAAAATAAATTTATTCAAAAAATTATATTGTCATTTAATTATTTTAATATTTTAAATACCTACCTAAGATTATTAATTAAATATAGGTACAGGGTAGTTAAGATGAAATTCGTTAGTAGATTTAGTCGATTTGGAATTTGATTAGAAATCATAAAATATTATATGATTGTAACATGAAAGATAACCAATAAAAACCTAACTTAACCTGATTTAAGATCAAGGTAAATGTTTATGGTCATGATTTTATAGTAAAATTCGTATTCTGAATTCGTATAATTCGTACCTATGATGCATAGTTTTATTTGATTATTCAACAACTATAATTGTAATAAATAAATACCAAATGTATGTTTTTTTTATTACCTATTTGTCTAACTTGTTTTGTTAGTATTTATTTAAGAGTAAGTATATGACGTWTTGTATCGGAATTAAAATTCGAGGATGAATATCAAAATTAATTACATCTACTATATTAGGTATTCGATAATATCATGATGGCGGGTTAATACACTGAACTCTAAAGGGTCATATTTTTATATAATTTAATATATATTTGTGATCAAATAAAACTAATTTCAATTTTTGAAATATGTATATAATAATAACACATACAGGTGGCTTTTTGTGATGTTTACAGATAAAGAATATAGACCATTGACTATAGATTTTGCCATATTGGTGTAAATGCTATAGAACTGATTTTAAAATATACTGTATTTATAAAATCAATGCTACTAGCCATTATTACTAAGTAGTAAAAACTTCTGTAGTAGTGACTAGTTGATACCTATTATCATTGAGCATATTGATATTTGTTTGTTTTTTATCCAAAATCAAATACAGATGAATTATATATATATGTATAGGTAGGGATCTACCTACGTATTTCTTTCCAGATCCGATGCAGTATTAATCTGCATGTGTCTGCAGGCATTGAAAAAGTGGTAATGTTGTCGAATGGTATTTTCTAAGTATCCAGATAAGAGACCATACACAAAATGCAATCAACACTGATACATTTCTCGTAAAAAAATTTACTAGCGCAACGTACGCTGTAATAGTAGATTTCTTATTTTATATTTATTTTGAACGATATTTTACGAGTGTAAATATAACCCGAAGCACGTTTCGCGCAGACCTGACCTACGATCAGTTTTTAATTTTTTATTTTATTGTGTTTTCCGCACTTGGTTTTAATATATACTTACAGCCAACAGTTATGTACGGAACGTGCCATTGGGTGCTTATACGCACACCGGAGCTGTTCACGTGGAAAAGTCTACACTACTCGTATTTGCGAGTGAACAATTTTTTTGTTTTAACAAAACCCTGCGCGATCGCATAAATTCCAGCCAACCTTGTTAACATTATTTTATATTGGTCGAAGTTTACTGCAAATTATTTGTAACTGTAAATAACATATGTATTTATAACAGGTACCTATGTAAAATTGAAATACTGCAGGGACTAGGATAAAATAATTTTTTTTCAATAGAAATCTATTCTTCATTAATATAATGTTATACACTAAAATATTGTTAGAAAATAGTTAAATCGAAACTTTATAAGTTATCGGATTTCCGTGTGCAGATCAAAATTTTAACACGTAATTTGTGTTGAAAGCATATACAAAATTAATATCAAACAAAAAATGAACGAAATGATTGCTGGGGCTGCATGGAGAATGTAGAATACTAGAAAACTATATATGGTAATTCATTAGGTAAGTATAATCAAATGCATTTTATTACTGCAATG